TCAGCTGGGGAAGGACAATAAATGACCCTGTGCCATTTAGCTGCAGAGCAACCCTGGGTGCAGCTGATGCTGAGACACACACACAGCACCCTGCTCTGGCACACAGGAACAGAGCAGACGTACTCAGCTGCATCAGGCTCCACTCCCCGCTCCCCTCTGGCTGCAGGGCTGTGCTGCTGTCAGAATGTTCAGCCCAGGATCCTGCAGCACAGGGAGCTTCGGTGTCCTCTTCAGGAGCAGAGGGAGGTTCCTCATCCTCTTCCCAAAGCAGTGCAGGTTCCTCATCCTCTTCCCAAAATGCTGCTGGTTCACCCTCCTCTTCCCAAGCCACAGGACGTTCTCTGTCCTCATCCCACACCGGGAGATTGCCGTCATCCTCGTCCCATGCCATGGGAGCTTGGCCATGCTCATCCCACACCAGGGGACATCCACCGTCCTCGTCCCCCACCGGGAGATGTCCACTGTCCTTGTCACACACCGCGGGAGCCTCGCCGTTGTATTCCCAAACCGCGGAGTGTTCGCCCTCGTCTCCCAGAACAGCGGGAAGTTCACTGCTCTCTTCCTCCTCTTTGGCCTCCTCTTTGCAAGCAGAGGGAGCCAGAGGAGGTGCTGATGCTGCTTTGGTGCCCTGTGGACAGACGGGAGTGTGAGGGACGAGAAGTTCTATCTCAGTTATCACCTTCTTTATCCTCAGCTACACATCCAGCTGCACTAAGCAGAAATAGGGTTCAGAGCTGTTCAAACTAACAATGGGCTAAAGCCGACATTGCCACTTATTGTTGGGAATTCCATATTCCAGCATGGCTAAAGCCAGCAAGCAATCTTCTGCTTGCAAAACCAGTCCTGCAGCTCTTCAAAAGCTCTTCAGCAGAAACAGAGAAAACTGCCAGGGATCTCTTTGCTGCTGCTGCTGCTGCTGCAAAGACACTGACAGGAACTTTCCTTCAGCCTCCCAGGCTGGCACTCGGCTGCCACACGCCGAGCTCACAACTTGCTGCGCAATTCTGAACACCAAAGCTTCCTTTGCCACTCACCGAAGGAGGAGCTGCTGGGGATCCACGCGTGAGGTGCCCTGCAACGGGAGAGGGAACGTGAACCAGATGTTGTTAGGAAAAAACTGCCTGTGGTGGGAAATGAGCAAGGCAAGCCCGAGAGAGCATTTTGCTTTCACAGCATCCCTCCAGGAGCCACAGGCCCTTCACACAGCAAGCAAGAGAGCAGCACAAAATACTGGGCTGTGTCAGCTCTTGGCTGGAGCAGCAAACGGAGGGAGTTCCAGGCTCCGCTGCCACAGACTCCCCGCTTGAGGGAACAGAACCCCCCCAGGCCTCATTGCAAATGCTGTGCACGCCCCGCTGGCTGCAGACACCCCCTTTTTCAGCTGCAGCTGCTGGCAGGAGCTCTCCCAAACCAACCCTGTCCTCATGGCAATTTGGTTACAGAGTCAACTCCGTTCCAGTGGAAGAACAGAAAGCACACAGCAAGCCCAAAGCCACAGAGGCTGCACCGAGGGAAAACCTCAACTTACGTGCCAAGTGGGTTAAAAAATACCCCGAATAAGCCACAGAGAACAGAGTGCCAACTGCAGCAACCACTTGCTGCATCATTTTGGCTGCGCTGCACACGTCTGCAGACTGTACCCCTGCAAGCACCGAAGGACACCCGTCAGGGGCTGGGCTGGCTGCTGAGAATGCCTCGGGCAGGAGGATCCTCTGGCAACGAGCAGGCGCCCAGAGCCGCTCTGGACACTGAGGCCTCCGTGTCCCACAGCAACGGGAACACCACGGGGACGTGGCAACGCTCCTGTGACACCACAGCAGCCGCTCACGCAAAAACCGCCTGGAAGCTTCTCCTGTGTCACAAAGGAGCACAAAGAATCCTCCCAGGGCACAGCCTATTGCCCAAAGGATCCAAGAGGAACTCTGAAAATGCAGCAAACAAGGACACCCCATAGCCCAGCCTGAGCACTGAGGAGGAACGAGGACAGCACCAAACCAAAGCAAACACGACCTGTAGTCACTGATACTGCTGAATAAAACCAGCAAGGCTTGTTCCATCTGGAATCTTTGTTCTAGTTCTAAAAACAAGCAAGGTTCTCCACTGTAAATATACAGAAGGCAGGAACTGGGGAGGAGGTGGGATTAGGAAGGAGGAGGAGCAGGAGGAGGGAGAAAGGAAAAGGAGGAGCAGGAACAGGAATAGAAGGAGAAGCTGGAGGTTCCAGTGCCCCCTGTGTCCGCAGCACCCCCGGCCACGGGCCCATCGCCCCCACCTCATCCTGCAGGTGAGCAGGGAGGGGGAGCTGGTCCCAAATCTGTCAGGGGGACCCTGAGAGGGTCTTTTTATTGGGGTGTGTTTGGAACTTGCAGATTGCGGAATTGAGCCCCAAATATTGTCTGGCGTCCCTGGGAGGTTTTTTTCTCTGGGTGTGTAGGTTTGGATCTTGCAGGACCCCAAAGCTGAGCCCCTTGGGGGATCTTTGGGGTCCACATGGCCATTGCCCAGTATTGGCTGGGGGAGGACATTGGTCCTGGGGACCCCTGGGAGAGCAGAGGAGAGGAACCCCTGGGACCCCCAGAGTGGGGAGAGCAGAGAGGGGCGATCCCAGAGCTGGGGGACCCTGGCAGCTTGGAGAGGTGGGAGCCTGGAGAGGAGAGACTCCTGGGATCCCTGGGATCTCAAAGCAGAGCATCAGGGGAGAAGGGACCCCATGGACCCCCAAAAGCCTCTGGATCATCGCTAAGGAGGACCCCAGAGAAGGGGGAACCCCTGGAGCCCTTGGACCCCCATCATCCCAGGGAAGGGAAACCTCTGGAATCCCAAATAGGAAAGACAAGAGATGGGGAAATCCTGGGACACTTTTTTGGGGCTGAATCTTGATATTTTGGAGATTTTCATGGCCACAAGACTCCTGCTGAGCTCTAGACATGGACTTGGGTAGGAGGAGCCTCTACTCCAAGGCACTCCCACTTTGGTTTCCCCCAAACCAGGATTTGTCATTCCCAAGCCATGGCCAGATGGAGGAGGAGGAAAATCCCCAGAGATCCTGCATGAGGAGGGGCTGCAAACCCAGCCCAGGGAGCTGCAAGGAGGAAAGATCCCCCCTGTGCCAGGAAGGCATCTGGAGATCCTGCCGGAGCTCAGAGCTGGGGGAGAGAGCTCATGGCAGGGAGAAGCCCCACAAATGCTTGGAATGTGGGAAGAGCTTCAGCTGGAGCTTCAAGTGGAGGAAACACCAAAGGATCCACCCTGGGAAATGGCTCTGGGAGTGTGGGGAGTGTGGGAAGGGCTTCAAGAACAGCTCCCATCTGATCTGGCACCAGGTGATTCACACTGGGGAGAGCCCCTAGGAGTGTGGGGAGTGTGGGAAGAGGTTCAGGAAGATCTCTGTCCTGATTAACCACCATAGGATCCACACAGGGGAAAAGCCTGGAAAGTGCTTGGAATGTGGGAAGAGCTTCAGTCGCAGCTCCCACCTGATCTGGCACCAGAACATCCACACAGGAGAATGCCCCAGTGAGTGTGGGGAATGTGGTAAGAGCTTCATTGAGATGTCCAATCTGATCCACACAGGGGAAAAGCCCTACACGTGTGGGGAGTGTGGAGAGGGCTTCAGCTGGAGCTCCAACCTCGGGGCACACCAGTGCATCCTGAGTGTGGGAAGAGATTTCCAAGGAGCTCAGGTCTCATCAAACATCAGTGGATTCACACAGAGGAGAGGCCCTTCCACTGTGGATGCTAAATCTGAACCAGAGTGCCTGTAGTTATTACAGGCCACATAGCTCTCAGGCCTGACTGAGAACTAGCCTGAGAAATTCATGAGAAGGAATTAAAACAATTCTCAGAGATACTAAACAGCCTTGCAGGTGTTGTTTTGCAGCTTCTTGTTTCTCCTTGCAGGAGACAGTCAAGGGGGGCAGAGTGCCCCTGACCAAAGATAGTGATGTAGTACTTTGTTAACCAATAAGAGTTTCCTTTCTGTACTTTCCATGTATCTGTCTATAAGACAGGGCTGAAGCAATAAACTAGGAATTCTCGTGTTGTGACTCCCTTGAGAGTCCATTGTCGTTCTTTAAAGCCGTTCCCAATCGGAGCGACATCTGGTGACCGCCCGATGTGATGCTACACCGACCCCTGAGGTCCGGTAACCCGACATAAACTGCAGCCGACCCCCGAGGTCAGAAGGCAACCGACGTGATCTGCTAATCCCCTGAGGGTAAGCAGCGAGCGGGAAAAAGCCAGCCCTTCCCCCTAGAGGGGTAAGTGGAATTCTCCCGGGCTTTCCAAGAGGAAGCTGGTTCTGGAAACCAACGGGATAGTGGAGCCTGCCAGTGAGCGGGTTTGGAACGGCATATCTTGGCGAAGTAGAGCTCAAAATCCCCGGGTCCGAGCCGTTAGCGTGTGCGTGACTGCATTCGCAGAGCCGCCAAGATAAAGTCCTCATAATGAAGGACTGTACTTCAGCTGATGAACAGCTGGCCTACCTTGCATGGCAGGATGCCCTGCCCCGCATGGGACTCAGTGTTTCTGAAGATGCCATGCGTGCTTTATTTCAGTGGGTGAAAGAGCAAGGTTTTGTTATAACTATGGACAATGCCTTTAATCTCGAACTTTGGCTGTCGATAGAGCACCATTTATGGTCAAAATTCATAAACAGAGATATCAGCGTGTGTAGCCTAGCAGCCACCTGGGGAGTGCTTTTTAAAGCGCTGAAACGGAGTCAGTCTGAGAACAGTGAAACCGGGAGGAAAAACTTAGATGCCGGGGGTGCCTCCTTTGTACAAGATAAGGGACCGGGAGGTGAAACCGTGGATGAGCTGCATAGTGCTCTTTTAGCTCTGCCCAGACCCTCGGAGGACTTTGGCGGTGAGCGAGAGCAATCTGCAGCTCGAAAATCTCCCTCTCCAGAGAGGTTTGAGCGGCCGCCATCCGCGGAGCTGGGCGCGCGGGCTTTGCCAACGGGAAAGCGGCAGGAAAGCAGAGACTGCCTGCCTCCGCCCGTGCCACCCGCAAAGCCTCCGCCGGCGCCAAAAGCGCCACCGCCAGCCGCCGCAGAACCTGCTTTCTCCAGCGCCTCCACCCTCTCCGAGCTTCTTCCTTCTGTGCCGCGAACAAAAGCGCAGACATCCCCGCTGCAGCCCGTCAGCGCGGCGGGGGAGGGGGAGAGAGTCGGCGCCCAACTCCCCCGCGCCCGGCGCGCGG